AAAAAAAAAAAAGGAACAGGAAATAAACAAGAATGAAAACCTAAGATAAAAAACCATTTTCCTTTATAGGGATCTGTCTATTTCATTCTCATGTTACTAGGTTTTGGTGAGTTTCCACAAGACAATATACTAAAGTCACTAGAAATGTATTTGTTCTTCCATTTCTGTCACTCCTGCTGTAGTAGACAATTTGTTTTATCCTTGTGAAACAAAGTCCATGGAGGTGTGAAGTCCAGAACTGCTTTAGAGAATCTCACATCTGGCCTTCAAGCTGCAGTCATACATACATATACACTTTATCCCCAACTCACCAACCAGGTTTCTGGGCACTTGCACAGAGTCCTCAGAAAACTCCAAGTAGCTTCTGGCCTGTCTGCATGCTTCAGGAGTCTAACGGAAGAGCAGTGGGGAGTCATCATTAAAGCAGAGGATACGGTTCTCAAACAATGATATTCCTGTTACTGCTTTTAAAAAATGTGTTGCCACTCAAATAAGGGAGGGAAGGTCACCATGATGCAGGTTTCCTTCCCATTTACCCTCCTCTTTGTATCTTTTATTTTTTTCTTTAAAAATACTTATTTATGCATAGAAGAACTGGGGTGTAGGCTAAAGGTGTAGGGGGTGAGAGGATTCACCAAACAGAGTGCTGACAGAACAGGCAGATCTACTGAAATACACTGCTGAGGGGAGCAGCAGGCAGGACAGGAGAGGGCTGCTGCACCATGTGGGTCTGCTCCCTGGCCAGGATAGAACTTAGGCTGTGGCTGTGATAATGATGATACTTAACCCCTAGGCCACCAGGGCAGCCCTCTCCTCTATATCTGAGGGACCCAGATAAAAGTTATCTTTTGCTGACCTCCCCATAGATGCGGAAAGTGCAGGTCTCTTCACCCAATTCAATGGCAGTCACCCCAGGAACTTTTCGGGCCTGCTGGATGTTGGCACCATGAGTCCCAATTGCCAGTCCCATCAGGTCCTCTCGCACAGTGAACTCCTCTTGGAATGCTGCTGCCAACTGCTTACTTGTCTGAGAGGAAAAAGGACTATAGGAATCATGGTAGTGGAATCTCAGAACACCTGTGCCAGATACCCAACACTTTGCCTAATTTCAATAAGGAAAACTATGGGAAAGAAAGCCAGAGTCTGCTGACCACTATGTGGAGCTGTCTGAAGAATTCAAAACCCTTCTTTATACTCCCACCTTCCAAATACCAACGTCTTGGAGGGGAGGAAACAATGAGGGCAGAGTATGGGCTGGAAACCACTGAAAGTTCTGTATTTGGCTCTAATGCTACATTGTGTGTTTCTAAACAAAACACACTCTTTGTACCTCTATTCATTATATCTAACATACTTCATTCCCAGACTTTCAAGAGGTATGACTGGTGTAAACAAATTTTTCACAAGGAAAGATGCAAGCATAAGGAACTATTATCTTAAACAAACTAACAGCAGTCCCCAAAATAAAAAGCAGAAAACAAGGGGTTAAGAAAAGCATACAAGGAGCCTAGAGAACACTGTATTACTACCTCATTTCTCAGTCAGCTCTTAAAGGGATTCCTGGTCTCAGGGGCAGGAAGACAGAAAAGGTTCTGGAAGAACAAGTCCTAACCAGGAAGAAACTAGTAGAAAAGATAGCTAAAAGGAGACATTTCCAGATTGCAATCCATGACTTCCTACTTCCAAGATGAATGGGGTTAATTACAGCAAGGAATTATACTAGGCAAGAAGAGAAAGCT